TTTTTTTTTTTTTTTTTTTTTTTTTTTTTTGTTGCTTACAACTATCAGGCAGAATTCAAGTCATGTTTATTTTTCACTATTAATGTTCATAACCGACAACAGCATACGAAATCTTAATGTTGTTTAACTTTTTTTATATGTTTTTATTTATCTATTTTTATTTTATTTATTTATTTATTTTCTTTTTTTTTTTGGCAATCTTATCGTAGCAAATAAAATCAAGTTTTAAATACGTGTTATTTAGTTGTATAAAATTTCAAATGTTGACAGTATTGGCTATTCATCAATGTTGAAATTGGTCAATATAAGATAAACATTATTTGTTGCACATTTAAAATTTGAATAACAATTTAGAAATGTTAAGTTGAAAAAATTTGGCATCTAAGCAAAAACAGCGTTCCTACCAGCTAATCTGCTCTGTTTTCAGCTTTCATCTTTAGTGATAACCAATACTGTCAAAACCAGTCATTTGCTGGTTTGAAGATGACGATAAAACTTATAAAAAAATAATATTTGTTGTTAACCAGCGATTGTTTAGGATCAGTTACATTTAGTGTTTAGGCTTAAAAGTTCTAGAAGAATTATTTAGTTAAGATTAGCTGTATTCAAGAGAGAAAAAAGATTGTCTGTTTATTGCTGGGCTATAGAAATGTATGTTCATTAGTAGCACTAAAATTTTGTAACATAGTCTTTTTTACTGAGTTGAAAAATTGTAAAAATCAGTTGACATAGATGAATCTTGATGAATAATCCTTAAAAGAGGCAATAAAAAAAAAAGAGTAAAAATTGGTTTGTTTTGTCTGAAATAACGTTTTATTCACTTGTTTGTTTTTCATATTTAACTAATCTGTCTACGACGTAACTGAACTAAAAAATGTCATAAATAAACGAATGTACAGTGAAAAATTCTAATGTCAATACAATAACTTTTAAATCGAAAACAAATGTTTGCTGTTTGACAGAAGTGTTCATAGCACAAACTGCAAAAAAAAAAAGCAGAATAGTACAGAATATGAATATAGTTTTGAACAACAAAGATAATTTAAAAAAAAAAAACCTTTCTGTTATCCCTCTAAACTTTATCACTATTTGGCTTATTTTAGTTAGGCATCTTTAACTACGCCATTATATGAGTGTCGATCATATTTTCAAAGTCTGAAACATTGTCTGTGTTTGTTGTGGTAAATTAGAGCAGTGCTTAAGTCCTGTGATATAACGACGTTTGGGTTTTGAGCTAAATACCTCAACTGTAAATCTAAGATTCGTTGCAAACAGATTTTAAAATAATTAAATAAAAGTTGGCAAATTAAAACCTACAAAAAAAAAAAAAAACACTTATTAATTAGCATTTATATTTTTTACTAGTCAGATGTTGTGGGATTAGGAAAAACAAAGATGAACAAGCTTGATGAATGCTGGTATCGTCTATATAGGCATTAGACAGTGTAGTCAACTAAAAGACTGTCAAAGCTGCTAAACTCATATTGAACAAGTATATTTTTTATTAGAAAAAAAAAAATTCTGAAAATCGAAATTATGTTTAATCAATTAAAAAACTTTAACATTTATTTCGTTGAAAAAATTTTGTCAAATAAGAACAGTTTCTTTTTCAATTTTATGCAACAGTTTTGTTGGCACTGTTTTTTTTTTTTTTTTCTTGACAAATCTTAAGACAAGAAAAAAAAAAGCAGTTTTCTTCTAATTAAACTTCTAAAACTGAATCACCCAAAAAATTTTTCTTTACATCTGGAAACTTAATACAGCTTATTTTAGAGCATATATCAATTTTATTTATCTAAGAAAGAACAACGTTTTTTTTTTTAGCGTCACTATTACATAGCTCTTTATTTTTTTTTAACTTTAACAAACCACAGTTTTCCAATCCAATAACAGTTTATTCTTTTACTTTTAATTAATAAAGAAAAAATTTTTTTAAACTATAAATTTTCAGTTTAATTGATCATTTCATTCTGTTCACACTGTATGCTAAAACAAATAATAAGTGAAGAACGTTCATATAGTTTACTGTCAGCTAAATAACAGCAATTACAACTGCTTCCTTTGAGTTATACATACTGTTGAGCCGGATTTCTGGAAATTCATCTACTTAGACGGCGACTTGTTTTCTGTGGATACGTTATAGCGAACATCAACGTATCGTCCTGCAAACATCACTGTAAAGTTGTGGCCAAAACCAACAGAAAAAAACAGTTTGAAAGTGTTGAGAGATGGCCGAATAAACAAAAATGCGATCAACCAGTGACCTGATAAATTCATATCAAAAGAAAAAATTTTTTTTATTTACAAAACCGTATGTTTTTTTTTTTTAATCAAGTTTTTATATAATTTTTACAAACAAATATAAAGTAATTTAGGTAAAAAAAATGTATTTTAATCAGCGATCTGTTTGTTCTGTGTTAAATGATCTGAGAAAGAGGGATGTATACGTTGAACGATAACAGCAGAAAAATACTTTGCATCAACTGTTATTTCCGGTAAGAAAAAATTTTCTTATCAATTTAAAAATTATTTTAAAAATTTAGAATTATTTTTTTTATTATATAAATTTTTAAAACTATTCTTTTATAGACACAGTTTTGGCAAAAAAAAAAAAATTTTTTTTTTTTCAAAAACAACTTATTTTATTTGACCACAAACGGTTAACATTGCAAAAGGTGATGTGAATTAATTCAAAATATTTTTCTTATATACTTCATTAAATAGAACTATCGTCAAGAAACTGTCTTCTACACAGATAATTAACTTAGTTTTATTTGAAATTTTAGTGATAGATCTGTCATCTGTTTGACAACAAATGATTAAACATTTTTGAAAAATTAAGTGCTGAGCAATTCTGTTTCAAGTTTAATCAGTCTCAAAAATGTGCTCAACTGATAATATCTCTTCAAATTGGTATATTTAACCATTCGAAAGGTCTAAGTGATAAAAAAAAAAGAAAAAAAAAAAGTTAACTTGAGTTTTGTTGATGACAACGGAAACACCACCTCTACAATGTATTTATTTTTCAATTCTATACAACAACTGATAATTAATGGTCAATTTTTTAGGTAATATCTGTTGTCTAAGTTTTACATCACTTTATTATTTATTGTCTGTAATTTGCAATAT